AATTCTGGTGTTTATTCCTGGTTCATTCGGTAATTTTGCTTCCCGAATCTACAGCAGATGGGCTAGTATCCATATCCTGAGTCATTTCTAACAGATCGCTCTTACTAAGAAAATATATACCATAGCTTTTTAGTGGAGATCGCTCTTACTATGAAAATCTCTCCTTCGTATATATGATTGTTTTGTAGTGGGCAAGTAGGTTTCGGAGAATGTTCTCCACTTTCTCGGCTTCTGTCGGGTTGTTGTGTTGCATGAGTTTCTGCAAATGAAATGCTGCCGTTTTTATGTATCTCTTCATATAGCTGCTCAAAGTAATGTAGTGACAGGGAAACCAGGGATCTTGTCAGAAACTCTTCCAAACGTAGGTAGATCCTGTCGGAAACTCTTCTGCTTCAGTGATTATTATTTCTAAATCGAACTAATGTTTATCATCTGAGCATTTCTTATATCACTACTCGCAGCCTATTTTCCTCTATGAATACATTATCGTTTATTCTATTCTCTCCAGATAATCCAAAGACTCACAGTCACCATCTTAAGCTAAATTCCATTTCCTTATTGGTTTTGTGAGACTGCGTTTAGTCAATCTGGTAAGCCTTGGTGAATTGTTTTGGGTCGTGATATTTGCTCAGGCACTGGTTAATCCGCTTTCTTAGCTCGTATGCCGTGCCTGTAATGTCTCCCAAATATGTTTAGCGTATCCTCGAAATTAATTTCCACATTCTTCTAATTTTTATGTTTTTATTTTTTATAATACTTTTTTTTATTAATTTTAATCTTAAAAACTACTTGATAATTTTAATTATTATACAAAATTACTTATAACAATTTTCTAAATACATAAATACTCTACTCTACTACATGTAGCGGGGGTTAATGTCTTTCCATGAAATCATCATCAACTTCTTCATTATGCGTCGATTTATGTTCATAGTTGTGGTGATGATGGACATGCTCCTCTTCGTCATCATATTCCTTTGCGGCCTGCTCGGCATGTTTATGATCATGCTGGTGATCGTGTTTCGCTTCATGATGGTGATGATGTTCATGTGAGACATGTTCCTTCTTAATAATTGGATGATGTTCTTCAATGATTTTCTTTTCCTCTTTCAGGACAATCGGTTTGTGATGATGATGGATGTGTTTCACAATGGTGTGCGTGTGCTTTTCGATTTTCTTGTGGACGGGTACATGAATGGTGATTTTCTTCTTTTTCGCGTGGGATCTAGGGGAGGAAGAGAGGAATATTGTAAATTGATTAGAAATTCCATTGGTTAGGAATGAGCAATTAATTCAATCATTCAAAAATGTTTCATATGAATTGTTATTGAAAATAAAATTGCAAGCGTATAAAGTGTTGGGCGCCACTTCAAACCGAGATGGAAGTTCTTTGAGTAAACTAAGTTTGAATGTTCATGGGCCTGTATCGCGAAGTAAGATTTTGTAGAAGCCTATATTTAAGGCCAAATTTAAGACTTGGGCCGGCAAGCGAATATCGGAGAAATCATCGGATTTCGGATTTTCTCCGACAAGTTTAAAGTTTTAAATCATGGGCAGATAATCTTCTCTACAACTCCAGAAATTAAGTAGCAAAAGCTGTGCATTGGGCAAAAGGAAGTGGAACTTCCCCAATTGTTTTAATAAATAAGGAGAATAAGTAGATTTGAGATGGTTTTGGTGTAGAAGCTCAGACCGATATACTTCATATTCTATAAAGCATTACCCACCCCGCAAAATTTAATGTAAAGAAAGCCTCAGAACTCGATCTGGATATTGAGAGCAATGAATGCTTCACAGAGTATCTGGATTTGCGAAAATAATATATTTATTTTTTCTGTTACTCCTCTTGGAAGCATAGGGCTTCCACAAAGCACCGCCATCTTACTCGGTTAGTTGCCGTGGTTTTTGCATCTTCCCATGTTAGGTTATTTTGTCTTAGTTCTTGGATTATTGTTCGCAGCCTGGTGTTTCTTGGTCGACCTCGATTTCTTGATCCTTGGGGATTCCATTCATGCGCAATTCTGGTTATGCAATGGCCATTCTTTCCTAAGGTGTCCATTCCATCTCCATTTCATACGTTTAATTTGCTTTTGTACGGGTTCCTGGTTCGTTTGATGGGAGGAGTATCGTCTCTTTGCTATAGGCGACAGGAGTGAAATCGGCCTGTACGATTCACCCATGCTGGTATCTTTGCTAAGTTTCAATAACGGAACCACCCTACACATTTTCCAGGTTTCAGGAACTATGTGGGTGGTTAGCGATAAGTTGAGGGCTGATTAAGCATTATCATGGATATTCCGTCCGCAACCAACGCGTTGAATGACTCACTCCTGGGGGCGCTCAATGAACTGCCGGTTCATATAACAGGCGCACATCTTCACATCTTCGTCCTGTCATCCTTTCTGCCAGGATTCGAGAGTGGCTTAACCCTTGCCCACAATTTACTTGCTTCAGATGGTCTAGTCACTGTTTCTTTTTGTGTACGCACACTAGCCTGTTGACTTCGAATGTAATTTCTCTCACCCTTGGTTCTTCCTTGGTTCATTGGCCAGTACCGTCGCCTCTGCTGGGATGTTTGATCTTCGATAGTATCGATTGTACTGAAATTCCTCTCAGCTACCTATGATCCGGTAAATAATGCGGTGTGAAGCTGTTTATCGTTGGGATATAAACCTTTAGCACTTCTACCTCGGCAGTTCACTCTGTACTAAAAATCATTAATATTGACCCAAGTCAATATTTTAGGAATTTTGGACACGTTTTTCAACCGAAATGTCTTTAATTTGTATTATTATTGGCTGATCAGTATAGAGCCCCACTTTGCTATAGCCCCATAAACACTAACCCCCCTATTAGGTAATTATCTTTTTCTAGATTACTTTTTCCAAGTCATTAGTGCTTTAAGACATAGATGATCTCATTCCATAAACGGTTCGATATTTTTCGCTCCGCCAAAAGAACTAAATCTTTCCTTCAGTTTCATAATTCCCATTAGTTCAATCCTTCATTTGTACAAGGATTTGTAAAAAAATGACGACTATAGTAAAAGGAAATAGGTAAGAGAGAACCAAAAAGAACGATTGGAGCAAAATGAACTAGATGAACGGAAACTGAACTAGGTGAACGAGAGCAGAAAATAATGACTGTAGTAAAACGAACTATGTGAATTAGGTGAACGAAAGAACCGGAGCTAGTACCGATCGTTCCTTTTACAGAATAGTTCCTTTGAACTAGTACGTTCTGGAACGACACAACTCTACTAATCAGTGTAGCCATTTACCGTGGTTAAGCATTAAGGTCGAAGATAACATCGCCTACAAGAACTCGTAACAATTAAGACTGAAAGTATTTTTTTTTTTTTTTTAAATTGTAAAATAGTAGCACTTGAATACTTAAAAGATAAGAAAATGATAAGAAATTGCATTCTTTCCGATAACTGAATGGTCCGCTTCTAAAAATTCCAACGGCATTCGAAACGTCACAAATAAATTAACAAAATGACGGAAATATGATTTTTTTGGAAAAGTCCTCCATTTTCGACTTAGAAAATAAGGAAGATCTTGACCAGAATAACGTGTTAAAATTTGGAATGGATTGGATGCTTAGCTTCTGAGTTATAGTGTAGGCCATTTGTAAAAACACTGCTTGGAGAAAAACGCCTTTAAAGATTGAGAATCCTTATGCCGTCGCTTGAGTTTAAAGATATTTTTGTACATGAAAGAGACATTCTTGAATTAGTGTAGGCAAAAATTAAATATAAACTCAAAATTCAATTTTTTTTCAAATCAAAAATGGGGAGTTCCCTTAAAGAAGATTACGCAGAATACTTTTGTGTACCTTCCCCTTTAATTTGTTCTTTAAGAGCGGTTTTGACAATTTTTCTTTTCCATTCAGACCGCTTTTCTTAAAGTTTATTTAATTCTGGTCAAGTTTAGATATAAATCCGATTTTCAAATGTAAGGTCCGACGAGTAACTTACCCTGCATCCGCATAATCACTGTACAACACCAATGCCAATCCAACAATTAAGAAAAGTTGCAAACACTGCAAAACAGAATGATTCAAAAATTAACGATTTTCATAATCACTCTGTTGTGTCGATTATCACATTAGAATCTTTCTTACCAACTGCCGACTGTTCATGATGTTCGATTTTGAAAGAGGATTTAGAATGGGAAGTTATAAAACTTTATTCAAATTTGTATTGGTTTTCCGTATTTGTTGTAATAAAAATCCGATTTCTTTCTTTCGCTATTCGCGTTAATGTGTTGCACGTTTAATAACCGAAAATGAAATGTTGAACAATTGGCATAGCTCAAGAGTTTTTATAACATGACAAAGTTATGGCAGAGACCCTGGTACTACAAGTTGAATATTTTTTTTCGTCTTCTTCTTCTTCCATTACAAATATGTAGTAGTGTGTGTGTTGCGTTTTGATTTTGGCCAATATATTTTGTGGGGGATTTTTTCACTTCCTTAGATTGGGTATGGCTTTATTTTAGGCCGAATGGAAAAATATGTGGCTCACATTCGCACAAGAAAATCAAAACCATGAGATATAAGAGGGAAAATTATGTTTGTTGCATTATTATGTGTCTGTTTGTGTAAGTATATGTATAGTCTGTATAAAATTCAGTGAATTGTAACAAATTTTTATTTTTGCATTTTTTCTTTGCGTTCTTCGTGGTTGGCATGCAATTTACGTCATTTGTTTTGTTCACTTGTGTTGAGGGGGAAAAAATACAATAAAAATTAAATGGGTTTCGCCAAAACACCCACAACTGCAATTATAAAAAGAAAAAAAAATTATATACGAAGCCCAGACACTCTACTAAGACTCTTCGATTGCCATACTCTTCGATAGCCATATCCGTTCAGAGGTGTTTACAGCCATATCTGCGTTCGGCATTCCTGCAAAATTAATACGGCTATTCAGGATAACATTAACTGGCATAAGATCAACAGTTAACGACTGAAAGGACCTCTCGGAGTCCTTCAATACCGAACGGGGATTCACAAAAGGTGAGAGTTTGTCGTGTGATCTTTTTAACATACGGCTGGAAAAGGTCATACGAGAGGCAAAGGTGAACAGAAATGACACTATGTATACACCTACGCCGATGACATCGACATAATGGGCCGAACATTGCGAGCGGTAACACCCACCTTTTTAACAAATTGAGAAGGAGTCTGCCAAAGTGGGTCTGGCAGTATATGACAAACAAAAGACCAAGCTGATGGTATCAGCGCGCAAGAAGTCCAGTAGACTCAGACCAACTGTGGAACTTCGAGGTAGTCTAAAGATTTTATACGCCTCGGTACCGCCATAAATAAAAATAATGACATCAGTTTTGACATTCTGAGAAAAATAGTGTTGGCCAGCTTCTATAGTCTAAGTAAGCAATTTAAGAACAATGCCAACTCTCGCCAGACCAAACTAACCCTCTATAAGAAGCTGATGCTATCAGAGCTGGTGTATGGATCAGCATGGGTACTTGCGCAAGCAGATTAGACAGCTCGTGTTTGAGAGAAAAATTCTCCAAAGATATACGGGCCGATCTGTCTCGACGGTGAATATCGGCGTCGGATTAACCACGACGTAACGAGCTGCAGCTACTACGGTGGCTAGTAGAATTGTACAGTTCACGAACAAACTATTTCAAATGGACGGTTCACTGAAAAGAGCGACTGGTCTAGGTCTTACCAAGTCGTTATTTTTAGTACATTGAAATATTGAACGAGAATAATCGTCCCTTTTAGTTCAAATTCGAGTTGTTTACCTAGTTCGATTTGGTCTAAATGAAACATTTCTTTAACAATCCACACCTTGTAGGTTCATAAACATTTCTCCGAATATCCTCGACATATTTGTAGGTCCATAAAAGTGTATGACATTACAATAAACACAAATATCATCCAAGCACACCATAATCATCCAAGAACTATCGACTGAACGATTAGGAGAGCGATGAATTACTAAAAGAACGACCGAACTAAACGACAGCTGAATAAAAGAGCTTAATTGTAAACAATTGAGAAGTTCACTGAAAAGAGCGATCAGCTAACTGAACTAGATAGAAAAACTCTAGTGGCTAGACCATGTTGTGCGAATAGATGAGGATGTCCCAGCTCAAAAGGCATATAAAAGCGAACCTACTGATGGTTCACGCAATAGGGGAAGACCTCGAATTCGATGGAAAGATCAAGTGGAGGATGACATATCAAAGCATGGTCTTTCAAATTGAAAAAACTGCGCACAAGATCGACGCGCCTGGAAATCTTCTTTAAGTTCGGCTTATGACACAAATGTTCTATCTGGAGCCAGCTAAGTAAGTAATAAGGGACAAATTAGGGCAAGAGACAATTGTCTCTAATTGGGCGCCATCTAATTAATTTTCAAATAAAATATTGAGCGGGCGTCGCAACTTAAAAAAACATCTAAACAAAGATAACACGAAGCAAATAACATTTGGTGGTTTACTCCACCTCCGTTTTCAACCTAACCTACTGTAGCGTATTTTCCAAAATTGTTTCGCTTTAACATTTCATTACAACTTTTTTCCCATTCCGTTTGTAACGATTTTCTTTTTGTTTCACTCATAAATGTGTATTTGTTTTATTTATTTGTTGTTAATTTTTTTGTCTGTCTTTTTTTCCACTTTAATTTCATTTAAATGAAATGTAAAACGGAAGCAATGGAAAACTCAGTCAACGGAAATGGATTTTTGGTTTTTAAGTATTTCGAGTATTTTAACACCCCAAAACCATGAACAACAACTAACTGATCCAGTGCGATTTGGCAAAGTGGCGAAACAAACTAGTTTGTTAAAATAATAATAAAATAAATTCACAGAAGAAAACAAGAAAAAACAACAACAAATACAAACATATTTAATAATAAAGTGTTTATGGATTTGGATGAAAGTAAGATAGAAAAAAAAAACGAAGACGCCGAAATACTTTTGTAGAAATGTATTTTAATGTGTATTTAATTGAATTTAGAGTAAAGTATTAAGTAGGGAAAGGAAATGTATATTAATCGAAATAAATATTATTTTTATTAGATTTAATTGTAACAGGAGGTGGATATTGAGAAATTCAATATATTAGCATAATTTTTTGTCTATAAGGCCAATGTCTTTGCCTGTCAGATTCCTTTCCTTTAAGGAAACATTAATTAAAAAAGAAAGAAAATAATTTGTTGGTCAGATTTCAATGGGGAGTTATCAGTAGATGTATCCCAATGTGCTTCATCTTCGAATTTTATGTAGGTTTGATAAAAATATTACGGTATGTGCGGTGCGATCAGAGGAAGAGCCATACTAAAAGTGGAGGAGGGGGCCTAGCATTTCTTATGTACCATTCTGTTCAATACAGATCTATCTTGCTTGATGTAGACTCTAGTGAATGTCGCCTAGGTTTATTAAAGACTAAATTCAGAATAATATAACAGAGGATTTACTTACTTACTTAGCTGGCTTGTGACAGAATATTTGTTCCATAAGCTGAGCTTAAAAAGATTTCTGGGCGCGTCGGTCTTGCGCATGATACACATGATCTTTCCATCTATTCGTGTTCTTCCCATTCTAGGCTCGCTTTTATATGCCTTTTGTGCTAGGGCATCCTTATTCATTCTCAAAACATGACCTAGCCAACGTAGTCGCTGCAGCTCGATATGTCTGACAATGTCGATTTCTGAGAATAGATGGTACAACTCATGGTTCATTCGACGGCGATATTCACCGTCACGAACACTCCAAGAGCAGCCTCATATGCTTGCGCAAGTACCCATTTTCTGAAATCGATTTTCCGTAACCTGGATCAACTGGGATCAACTGTTTATTTCGTTCCACCAACTCCACAATTTATAGGTATAATGCCAGATTTATTCATGGTGGTCGAATACCCGAGATGAAGCCTAATTTCCCAGCATAGTCAGTTGGACTAGTAAATGACCGTCAATCTATTACAGCACATCACAGGGTCAGGAACTAACGTTGGGAGGTCAGTAGAATAGTTGCGGAACGTAAGCGGAATTAATTGTTAGATCCTATGAAGAGCTGCAATCGAAGTGAGTAAACTGTGGGTTACGGTTAAGGCATTCTCGAACCCTGTGTTGAGGTTCCATAATGCCATCGGTACCTTAACTATCATTTCAAGTCATCAGAGAATACCAATCCCTAAGGAAGAAGAAGCAGAAAGCTAAAAATACTTTGCCGCTATTAAGAACCAAGAATTGTTATAAAAGAAATAAAACATAAATAAATGTCGTCTAATATTCATATATATATTGTTGTTCGTCTTTGTACAACAAAACTTTCGGCTCTAAAACTACTCTGTAGATTTAGAAACACTACAAGTCCATACGCCTGTATCGGAACTTATACACCCTGGTAAGAAGGATGATAAGAGCCCAGTCACATTTAACGACGAAAGCAAGGAGGTATTATCACAGTTTATAATGGGTGATATTTTTATTGTCATGCGTAGCGCTGAGTCATAGAAGGCGCTGGACCGTGGCGAAATATTCATGGTAATTCTGAAACAGATCAATCAGCCAGGAGTTGAGTATCAGTCCGAAGTCTTTTAGGATACCAGCAAGGGTGAATCTTAGTATTATGGAAAGCTATCCAGTTGCGGATCATCAGAATGGGTTTCGTAAGCGACACAGTACAACAACAGCGTTGCACGCCATCGAGAACTAAACCAGGACTAAACAAGAACCGATGCCATAGAATGGTGTTGGTAGGGCTTGACCTATAAAAGTCTTTGATACCGTCTGCCATGACACACTGTTTAAGGTGGCCCTCCGGCTAGTGTTACGAAATGTAGGAGAATTCACTCCTGTCAGAATGCCGTTCTTCAACACGGGGTCTTCCTAACACATGTGGATCATATACATGAGGAGAAGATCTTTCCCTTACGCCAGCATAAAAATATGATTTCGTTGCAGTATCTAATCATCATATGGTGAATAGAACCCGTATGGTGAATAGACGTTAGAAAAGCGCCTCTAGTTCATGATGCCTATCGAGCAGGTCAAAATTGTATTCACACTGATGCAGCTGTCGACGTGCTAAATGAATACAGAGTAAATGCCGACCTCGATGCAACCGTTGCATCTGAAGAACGTCAGCAGCTTT